ACGAAGTAAGACCATGGATGGTAAGATTGAGCAGTTAAAGAAAGAGATGAAAGAAGAGTTACAAAATATACAACAAGAATGGCATTCGAGAATGGAACAGTCACAAAAATCAATTCTAGATCAGATATTGCAAAGCCAAACCAGTATGATGAATGAAATGATGACCAAGATGTCTGGGTTACAAACTGAAGTAGCTAAAGAGACAAGTACTATTTTGGCTTCTGGCCATGAGTCTAACCCGAGATTAATTATTTCACCTGAAAAGATAGTTGAGCATCCTGTGAGGTCTTCAGCAACAAAGGTTCAAATGATGGGCACAACTAATCCTCAAAATAGATCTCATGTATATATCGATGTAGATCCTGAGGAAATGGAGAAATATAAAACCAAGGTACCAGAACATTTGAAGGATTGGTACAAAGGGTTTCTTAAAGAGATGGGAAAGCAGAGTTCTCAAGATGGAATGGAGGCAGAAGAACTGAGTCTAGTGCCAGACTTGATCTTACCACTAAAGTTCAAAATGCCTGAATTTGAAAAGTATGATGGAAAAACGTGTCCGTTCGCTCATTTGACCATGTTTTGTCAAAGAATGACGGGATTGGGGAAGGATGATTGACTGTTAATTCATTGCTTTCAGGCTAGTTTGACAGGGGCAGCTGCCAAATGGTATAATCAGTTGACTCGAGCTAAAATAGGGTCTTGGAAGGATTTGGCGAACGTATTTAAAGAACAATATCAACATGTTACTGACATGATGCCTGATCGTGTTACTCTTCAGAACATGGAGATGAAACACAATGAGACCTTTCGTCAATATGCTCAGGGCTGGAGAGACATTGCCGCTCAAGTGCACCTACCACTTATTGAGAGGGAGTTTATAACAATGTTTATTGACACATTAAAATCTCCCTATATTGATCATATGTTAGGAGTGGCGACTAAGAGTTTCTCTGATATCGTGATGTGCAGTGAAATGATTGAAAAAGCACTAAAGAATGGACAGATTGCTGGTAGCCAAAATCCTGCAAAGAAACCTTTCATGAAAAAAAAAGAAGGAGAGGTGAATAATGTAAATTTCTCTGTGAGTAAGACAAAGACAGGAAATTTTTCATCGCCAGGAGAAACTAAGCGCGAGTATAACAATGAAAGAATGACATTCACTCCTATACCAATGACATACAGTGAGCTTTTCCATGGATTAGTCCAAGCCCATGTAGTGTCACCAAAATATCTAGATCCAATCAAACCACCTTATCCAAAATGGTTCAATGAAAATGAGACATGCGAATATCATGCAAACCTTTAAGGACATAATATTAAAAGGTGTCTCACTTTTAAAAGGGTGGTTGAGGATTTGATTAGGAGAAAAGTAGTGTCATTCAATGACTCGAAGACACCTTGTGTAACTGAGAACCCGCTTCCAAATCATCAGAACCAGGGAGTGAATGCCATTGAAGAGAATCGAAGAATTAAAATAAGGGTTAAAGAAGTGAGAAGGCCAGTAAAGTGGGTATATGTTCAAATGAAGAAGATATGGTTGCTAAGTCCCGTAAAGAAATGTTCAATCGAAAGGTTAGAAAACTTTTGTGAATACCATGAGGAAAATGGTCATCAAATTCAGGATTGTCAGGAATTCAAGCAGATAGTCCAAGAATTGATGGACAAGCAAGAGTTACAGTTCTATGAAGAAAGGATGATAGAGAGTGAAAGATATATCTGCACTTCTGAAGAAAGTTCAGGAGAAATTGAAAAGAAATTAAAGAAGCATGTTCTGGTAATATCCAAGCCAAATTATCAGACAAGCGTTGGAAGTACAACATCCAAGGTGGTGATTAAAACCCCGATACCTTTTGCCTACAAGAGTGACAAGAGCGTTCCCTGGAATTATACATGCCAAATTAATACTTCAGAAAACAAGGAGAAAAATATTGATGAAGTTGGATTTTTCACCAGGAGTGGAAGATGCTATGCTCCTGGAAAAGCCAATAAAGCAAGAGTTGTGGTTATTGAAGATCTTGAGGAAAAAGTAAACGAACCTGTCAAGATTGAGGAGGCTCAGGAGTTTTTAAAATTTTTGAAACACAACGAGTATAACATCGTGGAACAACTTCATAAGACCCCAACGCGAATTTCGATGTTGTATCTATTATTACATTCTGAGGTACATCGAAATACCTTGATCAAAGTGCTAAATGAAACTTTTATAGGGAAGGACATTCCAGTGGAGCGTGTGGACAGGATGGTGAATCATATTAATGCAGATAACTTCATTTATTTCTATGATGATGAAATACCTGAGGAAGGAAATGGCAGATGCAAGGCACTACACATTACTGCCTATTGCAAAGGGGTTATCATCTCTGGGGTGTTAATTGACAACGGGTCAACTTTAAATGTTATGCCATTTGCCACTCTAAATAGACTTCCTGTAGACGCCTCTTAAATGAGGGTTTATGGCAATATTGTGACGGCGTTTGATGGAACGGAACGTAAAATATTGGGGAAAATGATTATTCCTCTCAAAGTTGGCCCTACGAATTTTGAAATAGAGTTTGTTGTCATGGATATACATCCAAGTTACAGTTGTTTATTAGGAAGACCCTGGATTCACATGGCTAGGGCAGTTCCTTATTCTCTTCACCAAAAGCTTCACTTTATCGTGGACGGGAGTCTAGTGACCATCAAGGCAGAAGAAGATATCATTGCCTCTATCACTACTGATGCACCATATGTAGGGGTAGATGAGAACACACTAGAGTCTTCATTTCAGTAATTGGAATTTGACAATGTCACCTTTATCCCTGAAGGCAAAAGAATTCCCATTCCTCAGCTTTCGAAGAATACAAATATGTAGTTAAAAGAAACAATAGCTAGAGGAGCGAAAGTAGGGAAAATGTTAAGTATGAAACTGCAAGGCATCATTGAATGTTTGAATCCAATTCCTAAAAGAAATTATTTTGGCCTCGGATACAAGCCAACTTACTATGATAAAGTCAGAGATGCATAAAAGCTTAGAGAAAGAAAGAAGGCAAGAGCACAAGGTAAAGACGTTGTTTGGGGTCCCATGATCATACCACCACTCTTCAAATCTTTCGTTTCTGGAGGATTTGTGACTGACATACTGCAGCAGTTAGGGGAAAGTGAAAAAATAGGAATTGGAAGCCTGAGCATCAATGCCATCACAGATGATTCTACTGGAGAATGCTCGTTGGCATCAATTCGCACATGTCCTCTTGATTATGTTGAGAACAACTATACTATTGAAGAACTCCCTGTGTTCTATATGCACTTTTCAGAGTAACGCATAAATAACAAATATGTCTTTTAGCCCAAGTATAATGGGACTGTTGTTATTTATCATGGTTTTAATAAAATGATGTTTTATCTTCATTCTCTTCATAACAAATATTGCATTCAATTATTTAAATTCTTTATTATTTATTAATAATTATTCTTTTGGTAAATATTAAATAAAGTTTTTTTCATAGCCAAATATTTTTTTTTTCATTTCGCAGGTCTTCAGATATCAACTGTTCGAATAATGATATTTCTGAATCACAAATTGATTTTGAAAATGATATGTGTCTTGAATAATCTGAGGGTTATAAGGATGATGAGGAATATGAGCTAAACCCTGAACTTGTTAGAATGATAGAGCAAGAAGACAAACAAATACTGCCCTATAAAGAGAAAACTGAAACAATAAATTTGGGAACAGATGATGATAGAAAGGAGGTCAAAATTGGCACTTCGCTATCACAAGAAACAAGATCAGATCTTATAAGCCTTCTACGAGAATGCAAAGATGTGTTTGCCTGGTCTTATCAGGATATGCCTAGATTGGATACTGACATTATGGTACATAAACTACCAATAAAATCAGAATGTAAGCATGTTCAGCAAAAACTTCGAAGGATGCGGCTAGATATGCTATTAAAGATAAAGGAAGAAGTAAAAAAAATTGATGTTGGTTTCTTACAAGTGGCCAAATACCCTGAATGGGCATCAAACATAGTGCCAGTCCCAAAGAAAGATGGAAAAGTTCGAATGTGTGTTGATTATCGGGATCTTAATCGAGCGAGCCCCAAAGATAATTTTCCACTCCCACATATCGACACTTTGGTTGACAATACGACTGGTCATGCCTTTTTCTCCTTCATGGATGGCTTCTCAAGATATAATCAAATCAAAATAGACCCTGAAGACATAAAGAAGACAATGCTCGTGACAATGTGAGGAACCTTTTGTTATAAGGTGATGCCTTTTGGACTTAAAAATGCCGGGGCAACATATCAAAGAGCCATGGTTACTTTGTTACATGATATGATGCACAAAGAGATAGAAGTATATGTGGATGATATGATTGCCAAATCATAAACTGAGGAAGAACATGTGAAGGTCTTAAGGAAGTTGTTCTTGAGGTTAAGAAAATACCAGCTCAAACTTAACCCAGCCAAGTGCACTTTTGGAGCTACTTCAGGGAAATTATTGGGATTTGTAGTCAGTGAGAATGGGATAGAGATAGATCCTGATAAAGTCAAAGCAATATTGGAACTACCAGCCCCTAGAACACAAAAAGAAGTACGAGGATTGCTAGATTCATCTCTTAATTAACTGAGAAATGTGATCCAATTTTCCGTTTACTGAAAAAGCAAAACCCAGGAGAGTGGGATGATAGTTGCCAAGAATGTTTTGAAAAAATTAAGAGTTATTTGACTAATGCCCCAATCTTAATGCCACCAATCCCAAACAAACCATTGATCTTGTACTTGACTGTCTTTGAGAAGTCAATGGGATGTGTATTGGCACAACATGACGAAACTGGAAGAAGAGAAAGAGCTATTTACTATATCAGTAAGAAATTCACTGACTGTGAGACTCGATATTCCTCGATTGAAAGGTTGTGTTGTGCCTTAGTATGGACTACTAAGAGGTTGAGACAATATTTGTTATATCATACCACCTGGTTGATATCAAGGTTGGATCCACTAAAATACCTGATGGAGTCAACGACTTTAACTAGAAGGATGACAAGATGGCAAATGTTGCTGTCTGAATTTGATATAGTCTATATGAATCAAAAAGTGGTGAAAGGAAGTGTTATTGTCAATTTCCTAGCAAGTAGAGCATTAAAAGACTATAAGCCAGTGAAGTTTGATTTCCCAAATAAGGACTTAATGAGTATATTCACTGCGGAAGAAGATGTTTCGAAAGAAATCTGGAAAATGAACTTCGATGGTGCCTCGAATGCTGTGGGGTATGGAATTGGGGCATTACTAGTTTCACCAGAAGGAGAACATTATCCTTTTACTAGTAGGTTTTCCTTTGAATGCACAAATAACATGGCAGAATATGAAGCATGTATCCTGGGTATTCAAGCTCCAATTGAACGTAAAATTAAAATCTTAGAAGTATTTGGCGATTCTGCTCTAGTTATTTATCAACTTCGCGGGGAATGGATGACTAGAGACTCTAAATTGATGGAATACAAGAACCTGGTAATGGAGTTGATCAAAGAGTTTGAAGAAATTTCTTTCACTTATCTTCCCCGTGAAGAAAATCAAATGGAAGATGCCTTGGCTACGTTGGCAGCCATGTTTAAAGATGATGATCAATCTCGAATGATGCCCATTCGAATGAGTATAAGGGAAGTGCCGGCTCATTGTTGTAATATTGAGGAAGAAGAAGAAAATGGTCTTCCATGGTATTACGATATTCTTCAATATGTAAAATATCGTGCTTACCCTGCCAAAGCAACTGAAAATGATAAACGAACTTTGAGAAGATTGGCGATGGGGTATGTCCTTGAAGGAGAAATTTTATACAAGAAAAGCAAAGATCAATTTCTTTTGAGATGTGTGGATAGAATTGAGGCCAAGAAAATTCTTGAAGAAGTACATAAAGGAGTTTGTGTAACACATGCTAATGGATTCACCATGGCTAGGAAAATCATGAGATTTGGATATTATTGGTCTACTATGGAAGGAGATTGCATCAGATTTGCTCGAAGGTGTCATAAATGTCAGATTTATGATAATCAAATACACGTTCCTCCTTCACTACTCCATGTAATGATCGCGCCGTGGTCATTTTCAATATGGGGCATCGATGTCATTGGGGCAATTTCACGTAAGGCTTCAAATGGACATCGTTTTATCTTAGTGGCCATAGACTATTTCACCAAATGGGTTGAAGCTACCTCATATACTAATGTCACAAAATGAGAAGTTTGTAGATTCTTTAAAAGAGAAATCATTTGCAGATATGGAATACCAGAAAGGATCATCACAAATAATGCATTAAATCTGAATAATGATTTAATGAAGGAATTCTGCATAAAGTTGAAGATCAAACATCACAACTCGACTCCTTACCACCCGAAAATGAATGGGGCAGTAGAAGTAGCAAATAAAAATATCAAGAAGATCATCACAAAAGCAACTGAAACATATAAAGATTGGTATGAGAAGTTACCTTTTGCGTTGTTTGCTTATCGCACATATGTCCGTACATCTACTGGGGCAACACCATTCTCTTTGGTATATGGGATGGAAGCAGTTTTACCTGTTGAGGTGGAAATCCCTTCTCTGAGAGTATTGATGGAATTAAAACGTGATGAGGTTGATTGGGTACAAAGTAGATTTGATCAATTAAATTTGATTGAGGAGAAAAGGCTGAAAGCTATTTGCCATAGACAAATGTACCAAAAAAGAATGATGCAAGCTTATGATAAGAAGGTCAGGCCTCGTGAATTTCATGAAGGTGATTTAGTGCAAAAAAGATCCTCCCTATGCAAAAAGACTTTCATGCGAAGTGGATGCCAAACTGGGAAGATCCTTATGTTGTAAAGAAGGCCTTTTCAGGAAGAGCTTTGGTTTTGACTAAAATGGATGGAGAAGATTTGCCTAATCATGTGAATTCTGATTCAGTCAAGCGATATTACACTTGAAGGAGAAGAAAAGAAAGAAAAAGAAATAAAGGAGGGTTCAAGATAAAAACCTAAAATGGGTGTCTTGAAACCGAATGAGGATTCGAGTTGAAAATCCATAATGGACGGCTCGAATATTCAAGTTTTGATATGACAGATTCCATCGAAAGCCTAACAGTTCAAGGAAAGATTCTCATACTCACACATCTTTTGTACGATCTGAATCTTTGAGACACATGTCAACTTTCAGGAAAGATTTGGGTGAGGAAATATAGTGATTCAACATTTGATATCCACTGTATTTTTTCCTTTGTTCTTCCTGTAATGTTTAATTGTTTCTTATTCTAAAGGATTATAATTTTTCATTGCCTCTTTTGAATGAAATGTTTTGAATTTGATTAATCACTCGTTGCATACAATCACCAAAACAGTGATCAATAACAACATTGTTTATTATGCTTTACACTGAAAAGTGTCAGAGTATGGGATTTCAAAACGGGTGTTTATCAGAGGGCACATACAAAAATATGATCATTGAAAAAAGAAAGTTTAAATTGAGTAAATCAGTTTTAACTTAATCTTACCTTTCCTAAGCAAAGAAGTCTGAATTTGAAGATGAACAACAAGAGAGGCCATTCATTCCGATTGAATTTCTCAGAAAATCAACGAGTGGCCAAAGAACCAATAAAGCAAGATAAACTTTCTTGGGGTGGATCATAGAATCCAAGCTCATTAATGAGAGGTTCAGAAAGTAACCATAATCATATCCCAGACATTGGAAAATGCAGAAACTTCATGTGTTCTGATCAAATAGCATGAGAAAATCAATTGCCAGTTCTGATTTACGCATAACCCTTTAAACATGCATGGCAACTCACATACATTTAGATCATTTTTAAGGCATGAAATCATAGAATATGACATTTTTTCAGGATCTCCAAGACCTATTCCATCATTGAATCAACAAATCAATCATCATCAGCTATGACCATATCTCCTCATCACATAGGAGTCGAATCAACCTTTGATAACCAGTCGTCCTCATCACGTAGGAATCGTGTTATCACCTTTAGATGGCCAAAACTCTTCATCACGTATGAGTCGTGTCATCACCCGACCTGATCTCTTCATCACATAGGAGCCGTGTCAATCTTTGATAACCAGCCATCCTCATCACGTATGAATCGTGTTATTACCTTTAGATGGCCAGAACTCTTCATCACGTATGAGTCGTGTCATCACCCGACTAGATTTCCTCATTATGTAGGAGCTATGTTAGCTTAGATAACCAGTCGTCCTCATCACGAAGGAACCGAGTTATCACTTGTCCTAAAGATGGCCAAGAACTCTTCATCACGTATGAGCAGTGTCATCCTTTGACTAGATCTTCTCATTATGTAGGAGTCTTATCACCCTTAGACGACCCAAACTCTTCATCACGTATGAGCAGTGTCATTTCCCAAATCAAACACTATCAAATTTCAAAAAAAAAATCGGACAAAAATTGGTTGTCTTTTTTTGTCTTTGCCCTATTCTTGTTAACACAAGAATGTGCAAAGAGGGGTAGCTGTAGACACCTGTTTTTGTCCGAGCATTTAAAAATTATTATTATTAAATATTATTATTATTAATAATCTTGTTTACAACTGTTACAGGCCCAATACAAGCTAATTCGGAGCCCAATTCAATCCATACTCAGGGCCTAATTATAAGCCCAAACCACTCAACCCGGTTGGAGCCCTATGCTAGATTCAAAGCTATTTAGGGTTTATTACCCTAATTTCATAAGCCATTGTTGCGTGCTAATAATATCCAGTCGATCGTTCAGCTCTGAGCCATCACCGATCAGAGTCCAAATCAACAGTGATGGAAAGACAAACACAAACCAAAGTCAAAAAGCAAATCCAACAACTCTTACCTAAACTAGTCAGTATCTTACCAAAAACAAAGAAAATGCAGATACAGACATGAGGATTCGGTGAAGAGACCAAACATAAATTAAAGGGTTCGAACAGATTTAAAAAAAAGGAAAACAGAAAAAAAGAGAATAAAAATAGAGAGAAAAAAATCGATTAGAAAAATAAGAGAAAATATTTGAGTGAGAAAACAAGGGTGTCTTGTAAATCATTCGAAATCTATCAATAAAAATCGAGAATTTCAGGAAAAAAAGAAGAAGAAAACAATACAAAACACGATCCACTATTTCTTTTAAGGTATATTTTTCATGTACATGCATTTTTTTGTTCGAAATATAAGATATAAACTAGTAAAAGATAAGTTTTTTTTACCTTTGAAATCTCGGTTTTCCTTCGGTAGAGGGTCATTGGTTAGAGACTAGGAAAAGAGAGGAGTCTTCGGAGTTAGATCCGGCCACCAAGATGTGGTGGCCGACCATTTTTTTTTTGGGCCTAAAAAGAGGTTCGTCGGTGTGGTGAGTAGACAGGGAAGATGAGTGTTGAGAGAAAAAATGAAAGTAATAACAAAAGAGAGGCTAGGGTTTTTACCTAATGGTTAAAATGTGATTTTTATAGGCAAGAAAAATGGAAATATTATATTGAAGCCATTTCAGTTTCAACCGTGTTTTACAAAATGGTCACTGAATTATTGGGTCTAATCGCATTTAAGCCACTTTAATCTTATCAAGTTTTACATTCTAGTCACTGCAATTTATACGTTTTATTTTATTTTATTTTAGATGCTTTATTTTCATTAATTCTTATTTAGTCATTAGTCAGTTATATATTATATTTCAGTTATTCTGATTTGGGCTTCCTATTTGTATATATTTTATTTTAGTCATTAACCTTCTAACTGGTACTTTATTGTTTGAATTAATATCCTTATATTTATGTTATTGATTTAAGCTAATATACTAACTTTTTATTTTGTTACTGTTGTTAGACAATTAATATTTTTATTTTATTTCTTAATAACACCTAACTTTTAATTTTATGAAATTTAATGTTTATGTTTTTTATATTTCCGTTACTTTAAATTTTAATATTTTATTTCCTTTTAAGTTCTAATATTTCATTGTTGTCTTTTAATTTAAGGTTCTTTTATTTCAATCACCACCCTTGTTGATTGCTTAAATGGAAATTTTTTATATATTGAATATATTAGTTTCTAATTTTTATTTCCCCTTTTGTCATTTAATATTATGACATTTATTCATCACTGTAAATATTTGGTTTTTATATTTATGCATGATTTTTACATTCCTTTTAAATGTTTGTTTCCTTAATTCATGTCATGATCCCTTTGATTTCCCACTATAACTTATATAATATGATATGTTTTTAATTACCTTATTTATGTGTTCATATTATAGCCTAAAAATAAATAGGTGCAAATATTATGCTATAAATATATATTACAATTTATTACCAAAAAAAATATTTTTGTTTTAACGTATAATAAAAGCATCTTTATTAGACATATATATGTAAACTCCCTCATAAATAGTCACTCCTATTAAATATATATATATATTATGTACGTACAGTATACCTTTTTTTTAATTTGTTACCTATGTTAAAGTATGTTTTGTATTATATTAAATATATATATAACCTATCCCTTATAAATAGTTGCTTCCATTAAATATGCATATATTATGTACGTACAATATTTTTTTTTTCAATTTGTTACATATATTAAGCATGTTTTGTATTATATTATATATATATATATATATATTTGTATTGTCTCCTATAAAAATATTTATAATTTTTGATTAAATAAATGGTTGTATTCTATAAAATATATTTAGGACTCTTTAATCTTTTTGACTCATTGCGTTTATTATTTTAGTTGTTTTTAAAAATTGATATCTTTTAAATAAATTCAAATAAATAACAAGATTGTAGTTTAATTATTTTTTAAGTTTGTAATTCTCAATTAAAAAAATATATATAATTGTTTAGGTACCAAAATTTGGGTGTTGTGGGGGTGCTAATCCTTCACCACGTGTAACCGACTTCTGAACCCGTTTTAATCGAATCTTTGGTAAACGCTAACCAACTTTTGTCTTAAAAAATGATTTTTTAAAGATGTTTTTAGGTACTCGACCTACCTAACCCAAAGGTCGATGGCGACTCTATACAATTTAATTTAAAAACTCTAATTTTTCCAAAATTAAAGTCGTAATTGTTTTTAAAACGTGATGAAATTGTTTTGAAAAAAATGGTTATGACAGCTTGGCGACTCTGCTGGAGACCCGAGAGTCAGGCCATAAACGATTATACGTTGTTTTTATTTTTGGGAAATACAAATTTAAATTATATTTCAGTTACGATCCTTTTATTTTGAATTTCAAATATATCATACATTATTTTTAACTAATTGACTTTTGATTTTATTGGTTTTCAGAATTAAACAGGTTTTTGGAGCTTGTAAATTATTTTGTTTTTATGTCGTGTTTTCAAAGGTTTGAATCTATTCGCACGCATCACGTGCATTTGCATGACATGAGCTCTAGACCCGAGCTTTGATCCAAATTTGTTGGGGTGAATGCTTTACTCTCGTAAGAATTTATTCTTCGTATGAGTTTTAGCAAATAACCCACGGGATACATACTTTATACATTCGTAGGGATTTATTCCTCGTATGGGTATATGGTAATGAATCTCCTCGAATTGAACTCGTTCCGTTCGAAACCTATAATGGGTGAGGATCGAGAGTTTGGCAGCCCAAGGGGGCACCGACATTAAGGACAATTCGAGTACCCTATTCCTATTAGAGCCGAAACCGTGCATATAAACGAACCGTAGATCAGTCATCCTAAGAATAATCATACCAAACCTATGTCTGTCAGTAAAAATAAATAAATGTACATGTAGGAGGGTAGATAATGATCTTTTTGATGAATTTTATTTGGGTAGATAATATAGAAATAGATTCAGTTTATCTATCTTTTCTTTTATATTGAATTTATTCTTTTATTTTTGGCTAACTGTTTTGTTTGTTTTGTTTTATTTTTTTATTATTATATGTACATATCATTAGAAAAGGCTTTTGAT